AGTTATTGAAGCTAGCTTTGAGGCTAATCTATTTGCTAACACTTAAACACTTACATATATATACACATAAAATTTGCAGTATTTCTCTTCTAGGAAAACTAAAAATATTGATGACTCATTCAGATTTATGTCCAATCAAATGCTCTCTGGAATGATAATGTCCCGCCCCATATTACCACCTAGCAACTAGCAAGTAGCAAATCATGGCGTCGCTTTCTAAACAAAGTTGACAAGCCCTTCAATATGTCTCACCAAAACTTCCTGTTTCAACAGGAAGTACATCAACACAGGAAAGAAAGATTTGCCAAGTGATTTCAACGGGTCTTTAAGACATTTGTATCTCAGGAGACATAATACTAATGCTTGCACATGCTAAATGTACATGCTAGCTCTGATAATACTACATTTGTGTTACATAATTCAACTTTATGTTAGTGCAGAAATCTAAAACTTTGGATCAGATTCATCCATTTTTCCAACAAAGATTTATTTTTATTTTTTTGTGGGCATGTCTGTGCACCCAGAATGGCCTGAAGTGACCCCAGTTTCACTTCTCTTTTCAGAGGGTGTTGATGATGGTGCTTGGGCACTTGGGCAAATAAACAACAGCAAGAGGAACAGGAAGCCCTTGGTGAGGAGCATTGCGTGAGAGACTGTGAGAAGTGGGCTGAGGTTTTCAGCGTATGTGTGTGTACGTGTGCGCTTCTGTTCTTCAGTTTAGTTTTGCAGTGGCATGTACTGACGGGTGAATGTTACCCAGTGACCTGCCTTTTCATATAGAGTCGAGGCTGTTATGCTTTGGTATTTTCGCGAAATCTGCATATGAAGTATTGTGGATACATTAATCTTTAAGAAGACTTAACAGTGTCACTCTCTGTTCAGGTAAGAAGAAATCGGATCAACTCTAGAATAAATATTACAGTAGTCTCTGTGGCGCTTGTAGGTGGTAGGCTATTTTAAGAAAAAATCTAGAGTGTTACAGTTTCCTCTCGCATAGATACATTTTCAGGACCTCTGGAGGAGAGGATGTATGTTTTGTGAGGGGCGAGGGGCGAGGGCCGAGGACCGAGTGCCCAATGCCTGCTCACTGTAATGTGAAGCGACAGCTAGCCTTCATGCACCAGTGGGCTCCGTGTCCTAAAATGGACACAGGAGGACTCTTTCATGAAAGAAAGAAAGAAAAAAAACGGGGTAGAGGCAGGAGTATGTGGGAACATCTTTTTGTAGAAAGTGAAAGACATAAAAAACTCAGATTAATTTGTTGTGCAATTTAGACTAATGTAGAAAGTGAAAGACAAAAAAATTCTGAGGATTTTTTTTTGTTGTTGTGCAATTTGGACCAATGTTGAATGTGAAAAATAGATATAAAAATGAACAAGTTCTGTTACTTAATTTTTTATTATTATTATTCTTTTATTTTTTTTGCAATTTTGACCAAACTGATTGTCATATATCAGTAAACAACATCTCTATTTTATCTTAATCCAAAATGGCTTCATATCTGAAAAATGTGACTGTTTTGCAGTACATTGATGTTTGAACACACACACTGAGAAAGCACAAATGTAGATGAGTTGACTGAGTTCAGAAACAAATGGGAGGAATCGAGAAAGACAAGATAGGAAGCAGCATGTATACAGAACTCGCCCCAACTCCCACAGTACTATGTGGCTTATATAGTGAAGTTGGTGTTTATTTGTGTTACTTATTACAGAACTAATATGGTCTTACTATGGTAATATCATGGTTCTGGATGATAGCTATATTTACATGCTAGTCCATGGTACCACAAATTATGTCATGTTACTATCATAGTACATTAAACAACATGGTATTAGCATGGTAGATGTCATAAAAACAGTGTTATGTTATGGTATTGTAACATGTCAGTAGAGCATTCCAACGCAATGGAAGTCACTTTGAATAAAAGCATCTGGCAAATGCATAATTGAAAAACAACAACAACATGGTAATACTGTGGTACTTTTTGTTAGAGTACTATATTGTCACATGTCATGTATTTGTACATTTGCCATCAACTGAACCCATGTAAACCAAAACAATAAAAATGGGCAGCACGGTGATCTCTCTGCACTGTAATTGAGACAGCAAAGGACCTTTTCCTGGTCCTTCTCTAAGGCTCAATGATGTGATCAATAACCAATTAAAAAAACGAATCAGCAGATTATCCACGTCACACTCAAGCTTTCAAACAAGACAAGCAGTAAAAACATGAACGTCTGCCCGTCAAGTGTCCGAATGCATGTTTGTAAAGCGTATCAGTTGTTAATGCATAAAGAAAACCTGTGACGGAAACTGGCAGAAGTGTACAGGGGGTAAATAAACTGGTCGCCATGTTGAGTCCACTTTCTAAACTTGCTGTCTTTTAACAAGCATCCATTTCCACCTAATTAGTGCCCAGGATTTTAATTGCAGTTTACAGAGTTGTTCAGTTTTATTGAGCTTGTGAATGTGTGTTTGTGTACAGGCAGAGAGGGCTTGTTATGCATCAATTGGAGCAGGCAGCTTCTATTTTGGGCCTTTTGTGGCTGGTTATATAGTGGCACTGTCATGTATCTGTGATCTTGTTACCAATGAAAAATTAATTAGAACTAGAATAGGTTTTTTTTTTTTTTGTAATGACAAAAAGTTATGAATATGAATCAGGTAAATAACAACAACACATTGATCCAGTATGTCTTGGGCAACTTTTTTTGTTGTTGTGAATTTGGGTCAGTGGATGTTCAGAGAGCACATGAAGAAGACAAGGTAGGATGTGGTAAGTGAGGTGAATAATTAATTTGTCTGTCTTCCATGTGTACCCCGTCTGCACTTTCATCACCCTCATTATCCCCGTCATCACTGGGCTCTGTCCTCTCCACGGGCTCACGGTGACATTCACTCACTGCCTCTGAGAAGCACTGTGCCTAATGCGGATATATTTCAACAGATTAGTTTCCCTGAGAAGAGAGGATGGATTGAGAGTTTTTTTTGTCCGTCAAACTGTACCTACAGTAGCCTTGCTGGAAACATTTAGAAACTAGCATAAAGAATTTATAGAATATAAATAAATCCATATAATATAACAAAATAGTATTATTATTATCATTATTTTATGCACATATACACTACTATTTAAAAGTCTGGGGTCAGTAAAATGACATTTTAAGAAATGAATGCTTTTATTGAGCAAGGATACACTAAATGTATTAAGAGTGAAAATAAAGATGTATAAGAACCCTGAAAAAACTGTTTTCAACATGATAAAAATAAGAAGTGTTTCCTGAGCAGCAAATCAGCATATTAGAATGAGTTCTGAAGGATCATGTGACACTGAAGACTGGGGTGATGACTGCTGAAAATTCAGCTTTTCATCAGGGGAATAAACTACATTTTCAAATATAGTAAAATGGAAGAGTGTTATTTTAAATTTCCCAATATTATAGTTTTTACTGTATTTTTGATCAAAAAACGTACAAGTTATTTTGAATTGTAACAATATTCACAATATTATTGTTTTTACTGTATTTTTGATCAAAGCATACGAGACTTCTTTCAAAAACATTTGAAAAAACCTTACCAATCCAAAACTTTTTAACGGCAGTACAGTACAAGTGAAAGCAACACTTAAATAAAAAGGTATGCATGATATCTCAAAAACAAAACAAGCCTTCATCTAGCCACATCCATTCTGAGGTTCATAATCATTACTCGTATTCAGCCTCAGCCAACCATTATCCCAACACTTTCACCTCTTCTGTGTTGCGGAGCCATACGTACTGTCAGTCCTTCCATATGTCTGATCCTACCTTCCTGTTTCAATAAGAAATATGTCAACACCAGACAAAATGTGCTCGTTTAGCCTTCAGGAATGTAGAGACTTCTAGGTTTCTTCCTTATCTAGGGGTACGAAGATGAATAATATGCACTTTGAAAAACACCAAATAAAACCAGTGATTGCACAAGAAACTAAAGAAATCCACTCATAACATGAAAACCAACCCCACTTCTTTCAAAATATGTCTCCGTAATTCTACTTGCCTCATCTTATGGCAGTACCTCCGACCTACATTCTGCCTTTTTCCCCCTCTACTTTTTCCCCACTCACTTAGTTCTGTCTATTGTTATCAGTCCGCCTAACAGGCTTCATTCCATGGCTTTGTTCTGGCAGGCAAATGAGCACAGAAAGGGAGGAGGAGGGTTGGCAAGTGAAAGGGCAGTCGAGTTCGTTTCTTTAAAGGATATCAGTTACTTCGATATGATCGTCCTCCCAAGCAGCAGATTCACAAACACGAGACTTCCTCTCTCTGAACCAAAGGCACCAACAATCATACTTGAGCTCTGGTACTCACACATTAAGGGTGTTGATACTCCAATAAAACAACTTTAGACATGTTTGAAAGCTAATAAATGGCACAAATAGTCAAATAAAAGAGGAATAATTATTGTCATAAAATCAATAATGTGCTACTACAACTGTTAAGTAAGTCTGTATGTCTTAACTATTGATTGATAAATGAAAAATTCAGCATATTTTCTTTTTAAATATTTTACACTACTTTTTTCTATAAGCAATATAGACTATAATGACTACAGTGTTAACATTGATATAAGGTCATCAAAGAGAGCTGACAAAGATTTGAAACAGCCCATTACTATCTCTGACGGTTGGCAAGGAAAATAAAGGAGACATAAAGTGTGCTAACAGATGCACTTACAATAAAAGTAAACCTGACTGCTCTGCCTATAGATGCTAAAGGGTTAAGTACGTTCACTGCCCGCATCTGGGAGTCATTTAAAACATTCCACAAGGCTTACCACATGCTTTCAGACAGGCTAAACCCCATGAAGCAGATTTTGCTATCCAGGGCTGGAAGTTTTCAAAGAGTACATATCACTGTTATAAACTGTTATAGCGTTTTAAAGGCTCTAGATGAGATGGTGCGAGGATGGCAGAGAAGACTGTACTCGTTTGGAGATCTGTGACTATCTTTGCGTACCAGTGCGTGTGTGGATCAGTAGTAACGCTGTCCTCTTTGAAGTGGTGGGATGCTAAATGGCTCTAGCTTTTTCCCACCCTCTGATAGGATCTTCACAGGCTTGCGTTCCCAGCTCATTTCCTCTGGTCAAGTCTTGTGACCCGTCAAAACACAGAGGAGTTTTAGGTGTTTGCTCTAGCTGCAATACAAAGGCCATACAAATTAAACCTTGTGCAATTAAACAATGACAAGCTCACTTAACCCAAGTAGGCCCGGTAAATTTCATTCCAGGGCTGCAGTAGTGGATCACTGATCACTTAATCTCACAGTTCTTACGTGTTAAACAGATTCCGGGTGGAAACATGAGCCAGAATCGGATCAGGGATTTCATTGAGCAGATCATTTCAGTGTAACACTCTTATCAATCGTATGCAAGGCTGTTTATTAAAGTAAATCTTTCAAGAATTTATTATTTTAGATAAGCGGTCTTCAACACGGGGTCTGTACTTCAATCTAAACTAAAGTTAAAGAGCTAAAGTTCAGCTAAATGTTTCAATGTCCCTTTTACATCAAATTGGCTCGTATGCTCATCAATGCTACATTTATTTGATCAAAATACAGTAAAAACTATAATACTGTGAAATTTAAAATAACAATTTTCTATTTTTACTATATTTTAAAATGTAATTTATTCTCGTGAAGCAAAGATAGATTTTCAGCATCATTACTCCAGTCTTCAGTGTCACATGATCCTTCAGAAATAATTCTAATGTGCTGATTTGCTGCTCAGGAAATATGTCATATTATTATCAATGCTGCATAATGCTGCTGCTTAATATTTTTGTGGAGACCATCATACATTTTTTCAGGATTCTGTTATGAATAGAATGTGAAAAAAATAAATTTTTGTAACAATGTAAAAGTCTTTGTCACTTTTGATCAATTTAATGAGTCCCTGATTAATAAAAAAAAATTTTTTCGCAAAACTCTTATTTTAATGACTGCAATGTTAGCATTGTTAGATACATAAGTACAGTAAATACATTAACATGATACTAAACACGTTTGTATAGACTAGGTTTAAAATGCGAAGCTCAATTTTATGTGCTGAATATGGTGAAGCCTACAGTGTATAGTGTATATAGTGGTATAGAAAGGAATCACCCCCTTTAAAATAATCACATTGTGTTGCTTTAAAGCCTGAAATGAATACGGACACAGTTTTTGTTTTATCCAGTTGTATTTACTCAGTGAAACTTAGAACATCCAAGTGAAAGATATAATACCAACATGTCAGAAAAAAAAAAAACAGTATCACTGAGTAGGAAAAGAGATCACCCCCTCCTAAAAATGACTTGTAAACTCAGCCAGGTGCAAATCAAACCATTTGACTTTCAACTGTGATCAGCTGTGGTCATTTTGATCAGCTCAGCATGAAAAGAGCTTTCCTGAAACATTTCAGTCCTTGGTAGTGCAACTGAAGCAAACTATCAACTATGTTTGACAAGGCACTGTCAAAAGATCTCCAGGATAAAGTTGTGGACAGGCACAAGTCAGGAGGTGGATACAAAAAAATTCAAAGGCTTTATCAATGCCTAGAAGCACAGTGAAGTCTATTATTAAGAAGTGGAAGGTATTTGGTACAACACAGACCCTCCCTGGATCAGGACGTTGCTCCAAACTGGATGAAAGAAGAGGAAACTGGTCAGAGAGGCGACCAAGAGGCCTACAGCAACTCTGAAGCAGTTGCAGGAATTTATTAAAGAGTGGTCATTGTGTGCATGTGACAACAATATCACATATGCTCCACAAATGTGGCTGGTATGGGTGGGTTGCGAGAAAAAAGCCACTCCTCAAGAAAGGCCACATGCAGTCGCGACTGAGCTTTGCCAAAACACACCTTCAAAAACACACCTAACCCTAACTTTCAACAGAAAGTTGTCAATGGGAAGAAGGTTTACCTTCCAGCATGACAA